ATATATATATATATTTATTTCTTAACTGGATTAAGTTTACTTTGAAAGCGACTTTCTTCAGGTTAAAGTCATTCGAACGTGACGACCAGAGGAACAGTGCTCGTCCTGAGCTCATCCATCAGGTGTAACGGGAGCAGTTTAAAGTAGGACAGTCCTAAAAAATAGCATGCAAGCTCAGCAAAAAAAAATTTCTGGATAATTGAGGGTGCAATGTTGTGAGACCATGCAGACCCATGACATAACAACAGTTAACCTTGGTTTGCTAAAAATCAATATATATATATAAATGGTGGCTTGCACCCTCTGGGTTAGGAGTGAGTCACTGCCCCAAGCAGGGGAGTTCCTGAGTGAGGGTAGACAGGCGGTTTGGTGTGACGTTGTACCGGTTGTGGTGAAGAGGGAGGCCCTGGGGTAGACCCAGAAAACACTGGAGGAGTTTTATATCTCGTCTAGCCTGGGGAGGTCTCGGGGGGTCCCCCCCAAGAAGAGCTGGAAAGCGTTGATGGCGAGGAACATCTGCAAAACCCTCCCAAACGCCCAGATCACACCGAGACACGTCGCTGGAAACGAGCTGCCTGCAAAGTCATTGTTCATGGCACAATGGTGCGTCGTGTTTTTCTAGCAGGTTTTAGACGAGCGAAAAAGTTTAAATACTCTCAACACACTTTGCCAAGGGGAGTTTTTAAGCGGCCGCACCTTTTGTGTTGTATCCTGGTCTGAGTACCCACAGTGTCAGGTGATTATAATTATGTATCATTATGTGGGTCACTACGATTAAGCTCTTCCATATTCAGTTAGTCATTTCAATCATTTGTAATAGTGTAAAAACACATACACTAGGTTTGGGGCCGCTACGTCCGATCATATTAGGAGACAATGTGAAAACAATATATCGGATGTCTTCTTTGAGGCACATTTCACCTCTTTATAACGCATGCTGATGGTCAGTGTCTCTGGACAATCGGGGGTCCCAGGATCAGCACCTTGGACAGCGACAACACTTTGTGCACAACGTTTTATAAAAGATCCACAACAAGAAGAAGCTGCAGACTGCAGGCTGGTCCACAGATCTCAGTCCACAAACGAATCCCATTAACGGCCACAGCATTGTTCTCAAAATGTGAACAAATTACACCAAAACTATGAAGGAATGACTGGATACCACTAGACATAAGTAAATAATAAACTGTGACCTAATTTGCAATTGTATTGCTCTAGAGACTCCACACATGATGGAATTTGGCCATAGTTTGACTCCAATTCAAAGCTATTAAATGTGGTCACTTTTACACAAAGATCAATCATAACTCTCCTTGTATTGCCTGCTTTGTTATTTTGTATCTATTAGTAGACATTTTAACGAACCAGGACGGGCTGGGAGTTTTGTCTGATCCCTAATTTCAAACTCTGTGCCTGTGTTTCTCTGGTTGTTTGTCGGTTTTCTCACTGATTAGGCGTTCTGTGTGAACAAACGACGAATATGTAACCGAGATCAGAGGGGGGTGCCAACAACAATCACTGTTATGATCATTAGAACGACTTGTTTTTTTTACCCCGAGTGGATAGCATGCTGAGAGACTGCAAAAAAAGAGCAGCTTGATGATACGTCCTGCTGCCTATAAAGATGCATCCAACAAGAAACATCTTTTCAGCCGGTGTTTCTGAGGGAAAGCATCTTATAAAATGTTGATAGTGTGAAGCAGGGTTCCTAACATGAAAAGCTTTCTGGGGTTTTTGAACTTGACATCTGTAGGAGCCGGCACAGCACGGCACATCGGCAGCATCGCAGTATCTGAGCCGCATGCATCCGTCTGATCTCTACATGTTATTTCACACGTGTGCTTCCCCCCGATTGTACCGCACACTTGAAGAAGTCAGCAGCTTTGAATTTGAGCAGATAACATCCCCTCGGGGCTAATTTTCTTTCGAGGGTCTGCTTTGTAAAAGCGTATCGGCACGTTGAGACAATCTTAAAGCCTGCTGGAGAGAAAACACTGAAATAACTAATAGATCTGATGTGCGTTTCTTGAAGGGCAGATATCTATTTTTCCGTGGATGTGACGCACCGGAGCGATCAGATGTTAAATCACGAGCCAGAAACCAGCAGGTCGGAATGTGACAATGTTGGTAACTTCTCTTAAAATAGAAGATATGTTCACGGCAGAGTGAAAGAAAACCTTTTCCCCCTGTTGAACACTTTGCATTCCCCTTCTTGCACCAGAAAACCTCTGATAAAAGAATCCATTATCAAGGTTTAACCCGGACCAGACGTCAGAGATCTCATCGTAATCGATCGCACTGCCTTTTTGAGCATCTGCATGTGATTTTTGCTGTGATTTTTGATTGGAATTGGCCCTTGAAAAGTGTTCTGTAATTGAATCCGTTTTTAAAAATAGCTTTACAAACTAACAGTTTGCTCTCTGATATGTATTTTAGTGCCATGCAGGTTAAGACTGTCACAGTAGAGTAGGCCTAGTGTTGTAAGTCTAATTGAATCACTTACTTTAGTCATTATCCCTTGTGTTGTCCTCCCGACTGCCTGTTGTCCTCTGGGGTCAAAAATGACCCCACCTGGTTTGACTGTTTTTAAAGCATACAGTATAAATTGTCAATCCATTCTGTTTTACACCTTTAGTCTTACTTCAGTCCAACACATTACCACAAATCGTTCCCTTCATTTTGGAATTTAGGGCCAATAGACCTTGTTTACATAAAAGTATACCCTGTTTTTGAGTGAAAATACAATGAAACAATGAATTATTTTGACTTTATATTATTTTTTACTATTTGACTGATCACAGAGAGGTACATATCAAAGTTTAGTGAGGATGCTGTTCTTGAATCATTTGAATTTTTCTAATGGCAGCACATCATCACACCTGTTGTCCTCTGGGGTCAAAAATGACCCCGTCAGGTTTGACTGTTTATAAAGCATACAGTATAAATTATCACCCACCTCTGTGTTTCAACTCCTTAGTCAACTTTATTCCAAGTCATTACCTGACATATAAAACATGTCAACATTCATTTCTGCAACATTTAATTGGATATTTAAAAACAAAACAATCTGAATGTCTCATTTGTCTCGTCTCTCTTCAGCTTTTGATTTGTAACGTTATAGTTTCATCATCAATGTAGGGCTACGTTTACCATCTTCTGTGGAGAATATCGCATTTTATTTATTTGAGTAAACAAAATTAATAGTTTCGACTTAACATTGGTGCATGTCATCTTTATTTTGTGCCTCTAACCATTTGGCTAACACCATTACTTCACATTAAGGTTTGATATATGGGCTGGAAAAAATAAATGAGCTTAGTAAAATGCAATAAAACTCAGCAGCATTGCAAGCTAAAAATGACCAGAAAGCTTAAAACCAAAAAATTACAGTACATCTTTGTAACAAAAAATATGTTTCCACATGTTTGAAATTGGAAAATGCAGAAATATGTTAGTGGACATTGTTAAAAACTATATCAACTTCATTTACAAGTGCAGATTATAATCTAGTACTTCAGTTATGAGGTACTAAAACAAATGCATTCAATTTTGTCTTTCTATATCAATGGCGATGGAAAAATAAAGATTTACTTTAGACACCAAGTTCTGACCAATATCGACATAAAATCTTAGCATATTGCCTCAAATGTTTGATTTAATTTGTATGTTTTGACTTGAACCTTTGTTTTTATTGGCTTTAATGTAGAATCAGATGATCAAACCTCAAATTCCGGCAGTGTCCCCTCCTTGATCTTCACACTGAAATAACTACTTACTGTAGCACTAAATGTAAGTCTAAATGTATGAACAAATATTTAAAAAAACAAAGAATATCTCCTTTGGAAATATCTCTTATTAGAGCTCTTTATTCCAGTTCGTTAAAGCCAACAGTTACTCTCAAGATTTACATTCAACAACTTCCGTTTACGCAACGCGCAGGTAAACCTCCACATCCCCAGTTCATCACTTCATCCCTCACATCTGTTGGTCACACAATGATCACAAAATAGTGATTTCTCCCTCCTGTCATATTTTCAACATTCCAGGCATACATACTTATATTTACTATTTGTACAATATACTGACATTGATTTCCATTCATCCGTCCGCCCCACCCTCATCCTCATGCACACATAAAACACTGTACACATTTATCAACGGAGTCGTGTTCAAAAGGTCGTACGCCTTCACGTTTAATATCCAAGAGTCCAGGAAAGACACCACTGAGTACCTTTGTTTGATTTATATTCTTTAACTTCTGACTACTTGAAGATTTGTTCTTAAAGCTAAATGGAGCAGGCGGCCTGCAGATATATTACAGAGTGATAACCTCTTATGTGTTCAGAGGGTCCAGTGTGTTCAGGATTACAGGAAGAAAAGGGAGGAGAGGAAAATCCAGAGCGATGGAAAGAGGCAGAAGGAAACAAAATACTTTTAAATAAAGACATTGTGAAAGGAAGAGCAGTCCGGCAATGGCAGAAAATGTTCATATTAATCCTAACAATAAAAAAAAGGACCTCCATATCATCCCTTCTTCTCCTTTTCCTGTTTCTTCTCTTAGTGTCTAAACGTCTAAAGCCAAGCACAGCAGTTTAGTTTCCTCTTTTGGTTCCCCAGTGTGGTTCATACAAGTGATGATACATGGATCAGGTAATACAGTACAGTGCATTCTCCAACCTCCACTAGTGAGGCCTCCTCTGTAATTAGAGGCTCCTCCATCCTTCTGCTTTGGTCTCAGTCGGTCCGTGCAGCAGTAGTAGAGGCTTGTTCACTACTTTTAGGAATCCAGTGTCGCGACAGGAGGACGTCACCCTTTTGCAGTAAAGTGGCACAAATGTAGCTGCAGGACAGAAAATGAGACACTGGAAAGTGCAAAGAGTCTAAACCTTTTCTTTTTTTTTTTGGGTCGCTAGTTAGTTACAGCTATGGTTTGGTTTTCCTGACGTATTGGCGTGGCATTGGTCCGGAGGTTGTACGATTGGAGGAGCCAGTGGTCGCAGGTTGGTTTGAGATGAAGAGAAGCTGGACCGAGCCGAGCCAGGCCGAGCCAATCCAGGCTCTGCGTTGGGAGAGAGAAAGAGAGCAAGAGAGAGAAAAAAAAAAACCAAGAGGCTCATCTCCCGGCGTCTCTTTCTACCTGCCGAAAAAGTTCTCGTACTCCAGCAGTATTAGCTCCACTATCTGGTTCTGGTAGACCATGTGGACCGCGATGTTCCAGGTCTCCGTTTCGGGCCGCAGCAGCGTGGGGCCGAACACGATGGCCACGCTCTGGGTGTTCATGCGGTTTTCATCGCCGTGTTCGATCACCCTGGAGGAGCGACGGACAGTTAAGACACAGCGTCGAATATTTACAAAGTACCAATTGTGCAGAATTTCATATTATTGAATTTTAATGATTGATGCATGAATGTTTTCATGTTTCAAGTTGGAGCTAATTTGAAAGGATCAATGAAAGGATTTGTCTTGTTTTATCTTGTATTATACATCATGATTTGTTTGTTTTATATTTTGTATTAATAATCAGAATATTCAAAGGAACTAAAGGATTCTCTCTGACTTGTAGTGGAGTAAAAGTAACAGAAAATGGAAATAGAAGTACTCAAGTAAAGTACCCCAGAATAGTACCTAAGTACAGTACTTGAGTAAATGCACTCGGTTACTTCCCACCACTGCTTGCTGGTCTGGTTGATGCCCCTTAAATTCATGTGCTGAAGTTAATAATAATCAGTGTTTGGCCCCTGACAGGCTGTCATTTTGTTTCCTGGTTAATCATCACTAAAATGTGTGAAGTGATCATTTACACGACGTCTGCTTCTCTAAATAAACTACATTTTAATCTCTGTCGGTGTCAAATGAGGAGCCAATTAATGGATCTGGCATCAGAAATGAACCATTGGGATGATTGATTTTAAGTAATACTGAGTAAAAGTACCAAACGTTCTCTTGTTTCTGCTTTAGATATGATCATTTGTTGATTTTCTCCATTCATGTGTTGAATGTAAACAAAAGAAAATAACAGATTAATGAACATTTAAAATAATCTGGTGTCAGTGTGATAAACACTGTTCACGTTTCTTGTGAGAATGGTGCCTATTTATTGTTATCTTTGCATTAAAACGTTCCGTTCTGAGGGGAAAGATGAATCGATAAAGAGCGTTTCTTACTTCCTGAGGTGTTTGAAGAGAGCCTGCATGGTGTCGTGGTTGGGTTTGGGCAGCTGTCGGACCAGATCCTTGACGGACTGAACTCGCTGCCTGTAGTCTGAAATCTCTGCAGAACAGGAAACATTTATCAAAGTGTGACGGAACAACCTGGATTCATCAAACAGTTGCTTCTGTTGTTTCACTGATGCGATGTTGGACGAAGTGTCTGTGATGCTAGTGGTCTATGGCTAACTTACTGCTACTAAATCACTCATTTAGTGGTTTTGGAAGAGGGTCGAATGAGGTTTTCAAGCACAGTATTTTTAATTCTTTGGATAATAAAACGGTATAAAAGCTCAAATCAAACGTTTCACTATTGAACGTCTCCATGCATTCAGTTTAACATTCTACAAGTAAACCTGCAATATGAAAAAAAAGTCTTCAAAAGGAACTCCTGGTAAAAACAATGCTTATTGAGCTGAGAAGAATGTTGTTAAAATTATGGTTTTTAGGGTTTTGCAGCAGTAAATTAAAGAGGCCGACAACATGACTCGTGCACTAACTCCAGAGTGAGAGTTAACGTGTGACAGAGTGCGGTGCAGCTGTGTGTAACTCGTACTGATGGCGCTGACAAAGTCATGGAAGTGAGCGTAGGTGAAGAGAGGCTCCGGCAGCTCTCTGAAGTACATCTTTAAAGCTCCCGTGGTCACATGGATGTCCTCCCATTTCTCATCCTTCAGGTTCACCGTCTCATCTGGACACACACACACACACACACACACACACACACACACACACACACACACCAGTAGATATAATGGCAATATCCCAGAATATGCACAAAAGGCACGAAGGTAAAGGAGACACTACTTTGTGTTATGCAATGTAGTAAAGTTAAACCTTTTTTGGGAGGAGGTTAAAAGAGCGATAGAAAAGATCCTCTCAAAAGACATTCCAACCTTTAATATATGTTGTTCCAGGGAGCAGCAACTTACCGTGGTTGACAACAAAGCGTAGTTTCTGTATGATGGCCAGGTTCCCACTAACTCTGTACAGCCCGTCTATACACAGACCTGCAAGGGATCATGGGAGGAAAACATTCGTCACTGTCCACATTCTATGTGCCACTATCTGTGTTCTCATGAGCAGCAGTAAACCCCACCCTTCTTTTGCAGGTTACAGTACAACAACCCCAGAATCACTTCCTTCTACCACGACACACGGTACTGTACTACTGAACCCACCGCTGCTCTCCACGTGGTCGATGCACATCTTCACAAAGATCGGCACCGTGTCGCTCTCCCTGTGACACAAGCTGGACAGACTGCAGCCGAACACCTGGTCTGAAGACACGGAGAGACAGACGCACCGTCGTAAAAACAGTCCAATGAAGCTCTTTGTTTTGTTGCAATACTGTCCGTGTGTTATTGACCCTCCCTGAGACGTGATACTTTCTATTAGATGTAAAACAAAGGACGGTTTGCTTTCTGTGGGCTCTTTAAGGCCAAGAAACATCTCTATATTATGACATGTCTGGTCTGGTTAATTATTATAGAACTATAAAACATTCACTTCTTGTTATTGCTGTGGGCAAACTGGCTCGTTGGAGTATGAATTAAATCAAAATAGGACATAATTAAGGTTAGAACACACGGCTCGTACTCTTTGGTATGTTTAGTGCACGATAAATGTCAAGACACTGTTGATATATACAAAACACACATGACAGAAAATGTGCAAATATAAATGAAAATATGCAAAGTTTGTTTCTGCTACAGCAGAGAACGCCAGCAGCTTAAACCACAAATGTACCGACCTAAAATACTGCTTTCTGTATTTTGGTAAAATGAACTTGACATTTATTGATTTCCTCAAAGAATAAATCAAGATTTTTGCTGCCTGTTATAGTTATGAATAATGAGTCTTGTCACAAGTTTGCGGTTCTCCGTACCTTTGATGTATCCCTTGTCTCTGACGGCCTGCAGGGTGGGGCGGCGGGTCAGGAACTTCTTCAGCTTGTGTCTGGTCTTCTTGTTGTCGGTGGCGTCCATGCTGGTGGAGGTCTTCATGGCTGCAGAGGACAGATGGGACAGCACAGTGTTGTCCACCACTCGTCTCAACACACGGATCGCCATGATGGCCACTCGATGTTTTGAGGGAATGAAACTGATACGCGGTGGTTTTATAGGGCATGAGGGACACTATGCTTTCATTTTCACTCTTGTGTAATTAAGTGTGTACCCTGTTCATTCACTCTGCCGTCATACTTGGCAATCTTTGACTTTTGATGATGTATTATCAGTTTAAATTCGGCAAACGTGGCGTGTTCAAACATCTGCTCAACACCATGAAACGGCTCACAGACCTCGGCCTTTCTTTGAGTCTCTCTGGTCTTTCTCCTTGTCGTTTTTCTCAGCACCAGGCGACTCTGGCATGTCCTCTTCAATGGCCTCGTCAGACTCCCAGGCCTAAGACACACACACAGAGATCAGATACGGGTAGTAAACCTCTACCTGCTGCACCTTTAGACTCTCAGGACTGTACAACTACACTTGATCTGTTGACAAGCGAGTTGACCTGAAAACAAATGACTAACTTTCAAACTATTCTCAAGTTGTATTCAGTTGTTCAAATTATATTTCTGTTCCATAGTTAGTTAAGCGGCTTTTTTTATTAGTGTTTTAATAACAACTAGGAAAACAACCAAATATACAATGTATTTTCATTATAAAGTCAACATGCAGCCGTTATGTCAGCTGTGACAAAGTCCACTCTGTTTCTCCTCTGAACAACCTGGCACAATCTCCACTGTTTTTATTACAATTGTTATCGTGTAATAACTAATGATACAGTATATATACTGTATATTATCTATGTCCCATCTGGTCCTCACATGGGTGCTGATGGTGTCCTGCAGCGTCCGGTACCAGTCGTTGACCAAGCCGTCGTTATCCGACTGGATCAGCAGCTCCGTGCCCCGACGAGTCTTCACCTGCAACCCGGAGAGATGATCAATTATTGATTCCGATCATCAGCGATGCCCTGATTTTGTTTGTGGAAACCGTCTTTATTGTTTCTTTTCTCCTGTGTTCTGTGTAGATCTGTTAGTTCATTTATATTTCAGACATTTCTTTAATTATACAAAAAACACGAATACAGATTAAAAACAAGAACGATCTGGAGGAGATCTGATCACCTCTATAACGTGCTTCTTGCTGGATTTGTCCTTGGAAGCCCATTCCACCGAGCCGCCCCTCAGGTCCACAGTGAACTCTGGTTTGGACTGAACGCCTCCGAACTGGACAGAGAGAGGAGACGGATCAGCCTCGACTGTTCAACCAAAGCAGCAGATGGTTCAGAGGAGAGAAAATATGCTGCTGTGATAATGACAAACGTGGAGAGATTAAGATTCAAAGTTTGGATTCACCTTCAACTGGAGCTACACCTTCCAGGAGAGCTCTTTAGCTCTGTTAGTGTGATATGATAGTTATATGACAGTTACTTTCAGGACTTTCCATAACGTACTGTGTTCGTGTTCATGAAGACTTGTTGAGTCATTTGATGGGTTTACATGCCGGATTTAAATGCTCAAGATTAAGATAAACGACACAAAACTTGATCAGCATTTATTCATCTAGAGAGCTAATTAACTGCAGAGAAAACTTTGCAGGAACTTTAGTTTCAAAGGCAAAGGAGTCTGTTGAGTTTTGCACCATCAACCTACACACTGAAGCCAATCCTTCCCGTGTAATCAGAAAGCACGACGCACCAACAAAAACCTCCATGAACTCTTTAACTTCTACTTTTCAAAGAAAACAACTCTCTGATTAAATCTAGTGATCCATGAACTTCATCTTCTCTAATAGTCTAAAATAAATACATCTACTTTAAGTCAGAGTAGAACAATTACTGACGCAGGATTATCGTCTCTAATCTTTTCCCGGATGCCGCTGACTCATAACACGCAGAAGGGGTCGGGGTCATGACGGACAGGAGGGAGGCGGCATGCAGAGGAAGACGAGACAGAAGCACACAGGAGGAAGGAGGAAGCACATACAGAGGAGGCTCTGTCGAGCCCGGAGCAGCCGTAGGAGACGGCCGGGCGTTTCTTAGCGGACGGCCTCCAGTTACTCAACAGTGAGAGCAGAAAGGCAGGGAAGGACTCACTGAGGTAGTATGGCTGCATGGAAGGGAGGATGGGGCATGGAGGTATGGAGAGAGAAGGAAAAGGAAACATCTCGGAGATTTAATTCAACCCCAACGCCCATCTGGTGACCCGACAAACCTCGAAATAAACTTTTACTATCAAATCAAAAGGGGGCATCGAAAGTGAACCCTGCATCTGGAAAAAGGCATAACTGTACATCTCGTCATGTGAATGAACAGTGAAGTAGTGAACTAGTGTCTTTCTGTGATGATATAAGAAAAGTACAAGCTTCCTGTCACTCACCCAGCTGGACCCGCCTCCTTGGCCTTTGGCGAATAGAAGCGTGGACCCTTGCAGCACGGTCCAGGAAGACGTCCAGTTCTTCCTGCAACAGATGGTTCACGAACACTGTAAAAATACTGAAGGTAACCTTGAGAATGTGACAAAACAAGAATCCAATCATAAATTGGCGCTGTAGCATTACTAAAGGTCATCAAATCTTCGCAGGAAACCTTTAAAACTAACTCTGCAGACGTCAGAATAATGTCAACGTCGGTCGATTCTGAGTCCGTGCCACTCACCGTACTTTCTTGCCGTGCTCGGTGATCTTTGTCACGTTCAGAACGCCACACTTTTCAGACGGCTGGAGAGAAACAAAAGGACACACTGAAGAAAGGGTGACATACACATCCATCACTGATTCAGAACCACAGCAGGATGACGGGAGAGAAAGGTGCTGTCAAAAAGTAAATATCGGTAAACAATAAGAGTGTGTCGCTCCGTCGGAAAAACACACCACCACCACCACCACAAAAACAACACCCCTCCACCAGAACAATCGCAGCCTTCAGCTGGAAGGAAAACCATCATTTCCACTGAAGAAAGACAAGCGACGAAACTCTGGAAAGTGCACAGAGACATCAGATTAAATCAAATTAGAAAAAGATAAGCCTTGAGCAGATCTTTTGTGTCAGATTATAAACACACAGGTCGATCTTTGGGGAAACACAGACGATCAGCGCACCCAGGAACAATTTGTCCAAGTTCAGTTCTGCTTATTAACATGGATTCTACACAGGCTCAAGCTAAAATGTATTCTCTGACTGTAAATGTTATTTTTGTGTGATGTGAGATGACAAAGGTAATCGTAAACTGGGACACAGTCCTCTTCTCTATTGATTTCCACATCTTCTGTGCCTGTGTAGAAACCCTGCAATGAGCTGCCGACAACCAGGGCCCAAGTTAACCCCCCTGCAGGACGGAGCCTGGTGGGTGGGGGGGGAGGCGAAGGGGTGAGTACTAACAGAGTCGGGGGGCTTGGGAGACGAAGGGCAGGAGTCGGAGTCGGGGGAGGAGGGCTTGGGGCCCAGAGGAGCGTCCTAGTGAGGAGACAGGGATGGAGGAAAACAAAAACAAACACACACACTGTCACTAACAGCAGAAGGTTAATGAGAAGATGATGAGAGGTTAAGAGCACACAGACAGTTCAAGGAGTGCGATGGCAATTAGCAGTGAGATTACAACTGGAAAAAGTGTGTCGAGTACCTGTGTGATGTCCGGGAGGTGCAGATGGATTATTAATTAGATGTGGAGGCAGGTATTTATCACAGTGCTCATGCTGCTACTACAAACTACTTCATTTGTGTATCATTGTGGTTAAAAGCCTCATCATGTTTGTGATTGGGTGATTGAAATGAACAGACTGAGGTAATCATGAAGACGGGGATGTGATTATCACTCCGGCTGCGTGATTGTTATCATGCGAGCTGATTTGTCTGCTCGGATTAAGGGACAAGCCGCTGATTGGTCGGTCCGACGGGCCACTGACTTGGTGTTTGTACGGGTGTCGGCGGGCCGAGCCTGCGCGGAAACGCCTGGTTTTTGACAGCCGCTGCGAAGCAAAACCAGTCTACAACTGAAACTGTGGACTCGTGTGATAAACAGTGAACACATCTCACACCAGCTCCATCTGGAACACACTCGTTCTGTACAGGCCATACACATAACGCAACTGGCAGGTGTTTAAGAAACGAGTTATCCAACTAACTTTTTGGCAAAAAGTGTGTTTGCAGATGATTTGCGTGTCAGACCTTGTCGTTGGCGTCTTGGATGAAGGCGCTGTGTCTCCACTTGGTGAGGACGATGGGATCGACGTGTTTCCTGTCCAGACTGTAGCTCTTCAGAGCGTCTCTTGACAGCTGGGGGGGGGAGTGGTTGTACTGGATGGGAGGAGACAGGGAGTCATTCTGCATAGATGTACTTTTAATTCTACCTCCTACAAATGTAAACACAGAGGGCTTTTGTAACTACAATAACAAGTCCTTCTAATGGAATGTGTGTGCCTGATTCTGCAGAAAGCTACCATGATGTTGTAAGTCACAAAGAGGAGCTGCAATAAAGATTCACAGCATTCTCCGTCGTCTCTTTTTGGTTTCGGACTGATTGTTGGACAGAGAAAGTAACTTGTAGTGGACCTGAATCTTCAAATTGTGTATACTAAAAAAGTGACTCGTTAATGCAAACAATCATTGGGGATTTGCTCTCTCATCCCCTTTGTAAAACTGAGCATGTAACATTCAGTTTTACTAAAGTCCCATCACATTATCACACCTGTTATTTTGACAGTTTGATCGGATTGGAGGGATTGCTACGGAGTCTTACCTTCGGCAGCTCCCATTCTGACCTGGAACCATCTGCGCTGTAGTAATATGGTCTGCCCCGCTCATCCACGTGTTTTAACCACTGGAGGCGAACACACGGACAGCACGCGTTAGTGCGAGTCCTCACATCACCCAAATATATGAGCAAGAACATCACAACTACTGACCAACAGACAGACTTTAACGTTAAAATGTTGCAAATAGATCACAATGCTGTGGTGAGTTTAAGTGCTGTACTGTAAGTCCTCACTTTTCTTTATATCTGTACAATGAATCTAATGTTTTCTTATCTGCATGAGTGATTAAAAGTCTTTCATGATAATGAGGAATTGTTTTTTGAGTGTGCGATGAGGGAAATGGCAGAAAAGAGTATTTCCATCCTTCCTCTAGTAGTTGTATTCATTCTCGTGCTTCATCTGCGTGGAGGAAACATTTGAGTTGTGCCCTTTAGGAGGAATTTAACCATGAAATCAACCCAAAGAGCCGCTCCCACATGCATTCCCAGAGAGCACCACAGTGGAGAGACAGCAGGTCAGCCGGTACCTTCTCGTTGGTATGGTCGCTGACGTACAGCGTGTGGCCGTGCTCGTCCATCTCCTCCGACCAGCCAAGCGGCGGCGACCCATACTGACTGTCTGACTGGCTAGAGTAGGTACTGAAGCAGGTGTCCTCCGACGACAGAGGCTGGAGGCGGCCGATGGAGAGCGAGAGGAAGGGAAAGAAAGACGGCGAGAGCGAGAGAGGAGTGGTCTACCGTCGGTGAGAGAGGAGAAAAATAGAGAGAGGGATATCTTTCACCACAGAGTCTCAGAGGAGAAACACCAAACCACCATCTTCAACAGAGAGCCAGGAGACCCAACAGAAACCACTAATGTCCATGCTTGATTTGGGAGAAAGTCTGGAGCTGGCTGCTGCAGCCTGACACAGAATGATTAAGTAACAGTGACTGCCTGTCTCCTGTAGGGGGCAGTGTGGTACAGACATTTCATGTTCAGACTCCCAAATGACTCATCTATTATGAGCGTTGATCACAAAACACATTATTCCCTGTTCCTCAAAAGTTGTAATTTTCATCACGCAAAAAGAAAGCTGCATGTGTTTTGTTTCTTTTCAAAGAAAATCAAAACTAGTTCAAAATCAATCAAAGAAAGAAAGACATAACTTTCCTTTTCTCTGAGATGTTTCATCTTTTGTCAGTGCTGAAAGAATAAGTTTGCAGATGCCTCCCCCTGACTGCATGTACAGCTAGTTAATCACAAGAAAGTACTGACACGCTGCATTTGTTATCCATTTAATATTTAATATTTAATATTCTGAGTGTATATCAGCAAGTTACTCTAATTCTACGCTTGTGAGAAGCAGATCGAGTTTAGAGTGACAACATCGTTGCAAAGTCAGCTCATTTTGTCCGTCCTTCATCTGTCACTGGTTTAGTTTAATACTTTACGGTGGAAGTTATGATTCTGCATCAACTAAATCTAAGAATTAAGTTTGACTTGAGAGTCGAGTTTTAATTAATTAAGTTAATACTTTGTCTGAGCTGTTCAGAGCCGCAGTTTACGTTTGACTCAGAGTCACACCTGCTTCCTGTGGTGATTCACCGGGTGTTCACGTGTGAAGGAACCCAAGAGATTCACAAACTCTTCTCTCCACATTTCTCAATGCACGGATTGCATCTGTGTTTGCACTCACACAAACATGGAGAACCCCCCGCACGACTTTACATGTGTCGCCTCATGTAAAGTCAGATTTGACTAATGAGAAGCTTGCTGACAATCCAGGCAGCCACGTGTTAATAAAGAGCCGTTGTCTTGCTTTGATTGTAAGTATTACTCAGAGTTACCAGTGTAGACTCTTGAAGTTCCTCATACAGATAGATAAGAGTAATGTGTAACGCCCACATGTGTGTGTGCGTGTGTGTTTCATGGAACACTCTATACTCGATCCGTACCTCGGAGCTCTCTCCTACGCTTTGGCACTCTCCTCTGGAGCTGCCGGTGCTGGAGTCCTTGGCTCGCGGCGGCTTCCAGGTCCTCTCCTGGGTGGACCGGTTGTAGTAGAAGTGCCGACCGTTCTGGTCCTTGTAGGTCTCCCAGTCACCCATCACGTGGAGGCAGGAGCCGGAGGGGGAAGGGGGCAGGTTGGTCTGGGTGATCTTCAGCTCCTGGAGGTTGGTGTAGACGGGCGACTCGGAGCGGCCGTGGCCCGAGGAAGATACCGTCTGATGGGGAGAGAAGAAACACAGAGAGAGGTGTGAGTCATCTGTGAGTGCATTTAAATCAGTTACATAATCAGGGAAAAGTTCCTCGACAGAGAAATTCACAGCTTTCAGAGTGCAAATCAACAGCTGCACAGGCAAGCTGGCGAACTGTTTCATCCAGAAACACTTTAAAAACAGCACCTGAGCACACATCAATCACCTCACCCCCGCACTGTTAATGCCGGGTTCCTACTGAGCTCCACAAGAAGTCAATCACTTCATCTTTAGGCCTACATTGTTGGCCGAGTGGCATCGGAGCCGAGAGGAAGTGACTGAAATGTCAAAAAAAAACGATCTGTAGTTAAAGCTGACATGGCCAGTGTTGACCGCAGAGGAGCAGAGCTTTGAATGAAGGGGAGGAGGAGGAGGAGGAGAGGGGAAGGAAGTGTTGTTGTTGTATAACTGACAGTGGCAGTGACCAGATTCAGGTAGAAATAAGGAAGTGAAACGGACTATCACGACACATTGGTGCTTTCTGTCCAGCTACGAACAACAAGCTGTTTTTTAGTACAAATATATCGCTATGTGGTTAAATCTGTATCCTCTAATTTGTGTGTTGATTTGGAAAAGGCCTGGCTGTATTACCAGTATTCTGTGGTATTGAAATGGTAGCGATACCTGCTGGTCATCATGAACATCAACTCAAAACAGAGTTCATACATGAAAAGAGAAAATAATCCACACAGCTCTCTGGACACCAACCACAGGAAGGTCTGTAAGAAATGATTATTTTCATTGATAAATTATTTGCCAAATAATTGATCATTTATTCAATTAATCACAAGAGCTAATCACAATTTTCTGATGTCTTCAAATTGTTTCCTATAATAGTAGACAAGACAAAGCAGCACATCATCATATTTAAGAGGATGTAACCATCAAATGTTTTGGTAATTTAGCTTGAAAAAGAATCAACAGTTACAAATTTACTTTCAGTCAATTAGTAGAATAGAATGATAGCAAATGATAACTACTTCATATTTAACGATACGTCACTGATGAGTCTCTGCAGACAGGATTAGAAACACACCAAAATGTTTTTATGCTATTCCTGGTAAGATGGGAGCGTGCACTGTAGCTGTGACTTTGACAGAGAGACCAGTTCTTATTTTAAATACTGTATCTTAACAAAGACAGATGGTGGACGATGGTTTTGAATTACAACAGCATGGATTTAAAAGTGAGCTCCTGTATCGAGTTGAACGCCAACATTTCCGCCGCTGTAGTGCAGCCAGCGTGCTGCTGATCACAGAGCCTCCGACGCGAGACTGATCCAGTCAACGGGCTGCTTGTCATGATTCTTTCATGCCAGCATTACTGCAGAGCAGCGGGGCAGAGAGAGAGCCATAAATAATGGCGGTGCCCCGAGGCCTCCTAACACCGGCTCCGTGATGTGTTTATTGCACACGGATCAATAGGGATGAAATATTCAGGAGCCCAGCAAACAGCTGGAGGAACCCGAGAGGATCGACTGTTCAATGGACTTGATGAAGACTAAGACGCGTGCTGTTCACAACAGTATCGCAGCACAACAAAGTAAAGGCGGAGAGTGCTTATATTATACACTTTATACATAATCAGGCTCAGTGTCTTCGACCTGAAAAGACTTAGGAAGCAAGTTCTACTGTTGAGCCATTAAGCAAAGCACAAGACTTTCAGAATAAAAGACTGCTCTTAGGGCTGTAAGAAAATATTGATACACTTCAGTATCGCGATATGTTTTGCGATACTGTGTCGATTCTCAAATACATTAAATTAAAGATTTTTAATTCACAGTTTACATGCAAAGATCATAGACTGTATAAAAAAAGTGGACGTAGTCATTGTGACGTCACCCATTGGTTTGGGGATTGCTGTTATGAAGTCTCGAGTTCGACGATTTCGCCGTTGCCATTTTGGATTAAGGCCGTCGCCAAGTCTTTTTTGCAAACAATGAACGGAAGTTACCAGATTTGGACTGCTAGCAGCAACGACCTGTCAATCACAGTAAGCCCCGCCCTAAAGCATCCCATGCTTTATGGTCTGTTTGACTCTAAAAGGACCATACTTTATTAAATGAGCATCATGCTGTATTGAAGAAGACTTGAAACTAGAGATTGAGACCATAAACTCATGTTTACAATGTTTACTGAGGTAATAAATCAAGAGAGAAGTAGAGTCATTTTCTCATAGACTTCTATACAACCAGAGGAGTCGCCCCCTGCTGGTCATGGATGGATGATACGGGGACCGTGGCAAATGCAGATCCCACTGTTCTGGTTGCATAAAAAAAGTAACCGTTTTCTACTCAGATTTCATGCATATAGCAGAGTGTTTATACTATGATAGATTTCGTAAAACTTAAAAAAAAAAAAACACAATACATTGAATCATAGCCCCTGTATCATGATATGTATCGTTAAGTTGTGCTCAATATATGAAAATATATAAAATACTACCTCTGGCGGTGAACAACTAGTAAACACATTGTCCTCTTCATGTATTGAGAATGCTCGACAAAAGCTTCTCCGGAACCGGATCGCTGCCATCGTCCCGGCGTCAGATTCTGACTGTGGTGCTGACTGGTGACACTGCTCTGAGGTCTCTTCCTGTGTAATCCTGAGCCAACATGTGATTAAGTGCATCGATCAGTCGAAGGGGAAGTCCTGGTGGCCAAAGGACCGTTAAAAACAAGAGCCAGCAGTTATGTAGCATCCCACAAAACCACATTCTCCTCCCAAAGCTCTTCTGAAATTAAACTTCACTCAAGTGGTCGGAAGCTCAATAAACTTTACACAATGATGTTTAAGATGAGTCCCCCTCCTCTTCAGCTGTGTAGTGGAGAGCTGCACAGGAATATATTATACCTATTTAACTTGTTTTTAAATGTTCTAGATTATAAAGCACCTGATGGAATAAGTGCCAGGTTTAAGAGCGATTTAAAGTAGAGATACAGCTGGGTGCACCTCAATATAAGGAGAATATTATGTTCTTTCTGCAGTCAAACAAACGTCTTACATCCTCAAATGGCAACTTAACAGCAATATCAAGACAGAGCCCTAATGTCAGACTGGGGAAATGTTGACATAATGGGTTTTGAACTGGTTTTACAGGCCACACAGTTGTGAAAACCTCTCAGTCTGAAGGCCATGTAGAGCCGGAGCACAAACACTAAAACTGCAGCTCGGTCTTCCAGTGGCAGCAGCAATCGTCAAATAACAGCACTCATTATGTAACCGGAGGCTGCACCGCCACGTCGGCTCATTAAAAATGCACCGGGTGTCTCCTTGACTCCATTACAGCGGCGGTGTGTTGCTGAGCAGCTGGTGCTGGACATCTGGTGTGAACGGGTCGACTAGCTGATCAATGCTGAGCTCTACAAGCACTGAACCGCAGACATTAAGAGGTTGACCTCTAACGACGAGGCGGAGCTGCTCTCTTTCAGAGTACTCGAGCTGTGCAAGTGGTGTCGTGTACTCTAGAGCGGAGCATCGTCTGGGCTTTCAGAAGTAAAAGTCTCTCTCTGTGTGGGTTACGTTGGTCCGATGAACAGACGTAAGCAGCATTGTCAAAGACGAGCAACGGAATTAGAAAATATGAGGTCATAAAATGTAAAGCGACACGTCACTGAGCTTAAAATGATGTCGCGTGGGCTGTTAACGTTGAGTGAAAGCTTTAGATTACTCTTCATCGACACATTCAGCATTTTAAATCTGTTCACTGCTCAAAGTTAAATAAACTAAACAACCATGGTGAGGCTTTTTGATGACAAAGCATTTTGAATTTGCTAGATTGCTTCATTCACCAGACTGTTCAAATGATTAAAACTGATGGCTGGCACGTAAACCTATTGTATTGGTATTTGATATTGTTTGACTTTATTGTTTACGTCATTTATCAAGCAAAGAGGTTACACATTCTCTGGTTCCACTATTACGAGCTGAACAACTCATTTAAAATAAATCACTTTGGGGAATTGTCCGAGGCATCTCTCACGGTTTTCTGGCATTGTGCGGAGTCGACAATTTGATTAAGTTGTGGAAAAACTAGAATTGATTTGATTACAGTACTGACCAGTCAATCTCAACCACAACACCTACAGCAGTCAGCAATGAGGAGCAGCAGGTCTGAACTGCAGCAGCAAATCAACATTTGTGATTGCGGCTCAGCGCGCTGCTAATGTCCCGTCTGAAGCCGAGCAGCAGTTAATGAGCGGAGAGCGAAGCTGCCGGCTCCAGATAGATGGACCTGCAGAGTCTTATCTGTGCCGCCTGCAGCTCTGCAGCAGAATAATAACCAACTGGTCCAGTGTTTCTCCAGCCGGAGATAAAAACCACATCAGAGACACACAGACAGAGAGGAGACTGCAGCTTCGGGCACCGACTGCATCACAGCTAATATGAGATGCAAATGGCTGCAGATGCTTTAGCATCACATAGTTTATATTTAGACGAGTCTGGTGTGAGATTCTGAACACTCATTTTAATGCAACGCTGTTGTCCTGATTCACAAAGTAGAACTGCTGGGTTGCTTTCTGAAAGCAGAGGAAAGCTGTAGTGACTGAAACTACAGACGAAACTGTGTTTTTGATAAGCCCGTCTTCCATTTTTTTGGTTACTTTGCAATGTCGGCAGTTATTGCCAATGCTGAATTAGCAACTTTTTCTGCAGGATTTCTCGCCGTTGAAGCAGGATTTCATCATCTATAAAAAGGGACATGCATCTGCATAGGATAGAATAGCGCCCCCTCTCTGAAATGACTTGTGATTGGCCAAAGTCTCCCGTCACGGGCTACATTTCCTAAAGTCTGAAAACAGTTCAGGAGAGACGGAGAAGTCAAGTTCTCTCTCAGACCACTTGAATTAGAATATGCTCAAATGTTAAGAAGCTACTTGCCCAGCTTTAAAACAAAAAAGATACTCAAAATTGCAATGATTAAAGCAGCAAAGCTCTTTATCTGGAGCAGCTATGTGTCGTAGTTGT